CACACACACACACACACACACACACACACACACACACACACACACACACACACACACACATCCTTTGATTTGTTTATAACATCTTTTTTTCACACATAGATACAAAAAACAAAAAGCCAAAATGCTGGAGAGATGGCTCAGCAGTTAAGAGCACAGTCTTCAAGAGGATCTAAATTCGATTCCCAGCACCCAAATTCCAGCTCACAACTGCCTGTAATTCCAGTTCCAGATGATCCTGTTCCCTTTTCTGGCCTCCTCAGGTCCTAGGTACATATATGGCACAAGACATAGATGTAGGCAAAAACTAATATACATTAAACACATAAATAAAATTTTAAAAAGAGCAAAGTGAAATAGAAATCAAGGATTTAATCGGCGTTACAAACTAACTGTATGAATCTGGCTTTGGGACAAACTATAATTAATAACTGAGCCTAAATGAGTACTTATTACACTTCATTTCAGGCATGGACTCCAGAACAAGACAGGAGAGTGAAACATTATTTTTTGTTGTTGTTGTTGCTGCTGTCTTTCCAAGACAAGGTTGCTCTGTGTAGCCCTGGCTGTCCTGGTGTCCTGGAACTCAACTCTGCTGGCCTCAAACTCAGAGATCGACCCATCTCTGTCTCCTGAGTGCTTTCTCCTTAATAAAAACATTTACAGGGCTGTAGATGAAAAGTGATAACTGGCAGAAAATGTGCTATAGGTATGTAACACACAAACATAATTTTTTTTTTTTTGAGACAGAGTTTCTTTTGTGTAGCCCTAGCTTTCCTGGGACTCGCTCTGTAGACAAGGTTGGCCTTGAACTCACAGAGATCTGCCTGCCTCTGCTTCCCAAGTGCTGGGATTAAAGTGTACACCAGCACTGCCAGGTCACAAACATAATTTTAAAAATTTAGAAGGAATAAACTTATTCTTTTAAAAAACTAGAGCAGTATTGTTGTGTTTCATATATGTATGATATATATATATATATATATATATCATACATATATTCACACATATTTATGTGTTTGTGTGTGTGTGTGCATGGGTGAGTGTGCTCCTGTGTAGGTATACGTATGTGGGTGCATGCATACCATGGCATGTGGAAGTCAGAGGACAACCTGAGATGGATTCTTGAAGAATTGTTTTTCTTTTGAGATAGGTTTTCATGTAGCCCTGGCTGGCACTGAACTCACTGTGTAGCTGAAGTTGACCTTAAATGCCTGCTAACAAGACAAATTATTTACCCAAAACTTTCTAGGTCACTCAAGCACTTTCCCTCAGGATGAGGTCTCACCTCGAGGATGTTACGGTTAGTGGCATCTTCACAGTCTATAGAGTCATTGCAGACACTTTTCCAGCCTGGTGCAAAAGGGTTCACTGGAGAGGAAAACATGACAGGTACACACCAGCTTCTAAAAAGTGTCAACACTTCAGTAAAGCCCCACATGCTTTGGTTGGTAGGCAGGCATATGTATGTTTAACCCAGCTATGTAAAGTTAGGCATACATTTGAATAACCCACGCACTGTGACTTTACTCCATCTGGGGGCTAATGGAAGTAACTACAAGACTTGAAAATGAAAACAGGCTGGGTTTGGTTACTCCCTCTTAAGTCCTTAAAAATAAAAAATAAAAAATAAATTCCTAAAACTGCATAGTTAAAGGTTATGCTAATAAAATGATATTGACTTCAAATGAGAAATTTTAGTATTTTAAGGTAAACAACTAGTCTGCTGACATTTAAACCACAACCAGTCAACAGTATATATTAATGCTTAGCAAACACTTCAAACCTGTAATTTATGAGACCTCTCATATTTACATGGCAATTAATTTTATCATCTATCATGGTTTTCTACTAAAGTCATAAAATTAATGTTGTAAAATTGTTTCACCTTGAAAGGCTATGAATAGCTCATTCACGAAGTCACTCTCTGGAATTTTAACAGAATGGCACTTATATGATGGTTCTATGACATGGCACAACAAATCAGAGATTAAATTATCCAAGATTTTCTTCAGCACTCTAAAGAGCAGGTCATTATATCTTCCTACACAAGACTTTGTGGTAAAGCGCACAGCCATGTGGTAAGAATAATCAGGTTCCCGATAGGCTTTGGGAAAAGGTGAGAATAAAAACAATCATGCCTTGCATTGATTTCTGCTATTCAAAAAGTTAAAAAACATGCAATGTTAAATATCATTAATCTTGCAAATCAGTTTAGAAATTTTACTGGTCTACTACAACACTTCATAAGTCTGTTTACAAAATACATTTAACTAATTTTAAAGGAAAAAGTCATTGTCATTTGGTGTCTGTCTACTTAGGAGAAACGGCTTCTGTGGGATCACAACACAGGTTAAGTTAATAGTATCAAGAAAACATTGGGGAGCCCATGGACCCCAGACTGATGTCTGGGAGGCCAGCACAGGACTGGTCCAGACCCCTCAGCGTGGATGTCAATGAGGAGGCCCCGGCACTTTATCCCCTGGTAGTGGATCAGTATTTATCCCTGGTATAAGAAGGGACTTTGGTGGCCCATCCCACATGGAGGAATGCTTTCTCAGCCTGGACACATGGGGGAGGGCCTAGGCCCTACCCAAGATGATATGACCAACTTTGGGGAACCCCATGGAGGGCCTTACCCTCCCTGGGGAGCAGAAGGGGGATGAGGTGGGGGTCTGGTGGGGGTTGGGGAAAGGGGAGGGAGAGGGAGAAGGGATTGACATGTGAAGCAGCCTTGTTTCTAATTTCAACTAATAAAAAAATAATGTCTTGGGAAAAAAAAGAAATAAAAAAACAAATAAAAAATAAAAAGAAGCCAAAAATAAAAAAAAAGGTAAGGAAAAAGAAAAGAAAAGAAAACATTGGAGCTGGAGACATAGCTCAACAGTTAAGAGCTGTGGTGGCCAGCACCCACATCAGGTGGTTCACACCTGCCTATAATTCCATCTCGAGGTCACCAAATGCCCTTTTCTGGACTCTGCTGGTCCCTGCACTCATATGCACATACCCACACACGTACACATACCCACATACGAAATCTTAAAATGTAAGAATGTTTTGGGAAGACTAGAGAGATGGCTCATTTGCTTCTATAATTATTATATTATAGAATATAATATATAAATATATAACAATATATAAATATACTGTTACCAAAGATCAAAAAGTCATATCTCTTCTTTATTGTTGTTTCTTCTTGGGTTTCTGCTTTGATGGTCTTATAGGAAAGAGTACATGTGTAAAGTCCAGATAATGATTCCATAAAATCTTTCACTATCAGTGCTCCTTCCTTTGTTAAGTTTATTTGGCCATTCTCTAATCAGAAAGAGGAAATTACTTGGTTACTTAACAGGTAACTTAAACATTACTCAGTAAACTCAGAGCTGTAAACACAAATGCAAAAAGAAAATCAAAATTAATAGACTATTTCAACTTCAAGAACCCAATAAATTTTTTTTTAAGACAGGGTCTCACGGCATAGCCCTGGCTGTCCTGGAACTGGCAGAGATCTGCCTCCCTCTGCCTTCTGAGTGCTGGAATTAAAGGAGTGTAGCACTGTGCCCAGAAAAAAATCCTAATTGTCATATTACCCAACGGAAAAGCTACATGAGCAGAGTACTCTTTTTTTTCTTTTAAACATTTATTTATTATGTATACAGTGTTCTGCTGCAGGCCAGAAGAGGCTATCAGATTGCATTATGGATGATTGTGAGCCACCATGTGGTTGCTGGGAATTGAATTCAGGACCTCTTGAACAGCAGCCAGTGATCTTAACCTCTGAGCCATCTCTCCAGCCAAGCCAGATATTCTTGTGAAATCTATGTTAATTTGTTTTGTGGTTCTAGTGATTTATGTCAGCAATTCAATAAATTATATATATATTTATGTATATGTACATATACATTTACATAAGACACAAATTAATAATGCTGATATCCCAAGGTATTCTTCTAACATGAAAAATTACACAATGAATATCTCATATTACTGGTGTTTCATGGGTATACTTTAGTATTTATGAAAATTTTTAATAGCTTTGGAAAGTAGGGCACAGAAAAAACTGCCTGAAGATAGTAGGACAGCACAGTGGGAGGGAGCTAGAGAGGGAGACTCTGGATTCAATTCTAAGCATTGGGAAAAAAAATAACAAAGAACTGTCTCTTTGGTTAGCTCAGGCTATCTTCAAACTTGTAATCCTCCTGTCTCAACCTCTTGAGTGTTTCACTCACAGGCCTGTGCCATCCTTTAGATCTGCTTTTACATAGGAAGAATTTAAGTCATAGAGACCAGAAAAATTACAATTTGTCAAAAAGTTGAACAAATTTAATTACAGTTAAAATTACATTTTGGGGGGATGGAGAGATTGCCTAGTGTTTAAGAGTACTTGTTGTGCTTGCAGAGGGCCTGGGTTCTATTTCCAGCACCCAAATGATGGCTCACAACCATTAGTAACTCTAGTTCCATGGGATCCAATACCCTCTTCTGTTCTCCAAGGACATCAGGCATGCATGCACAAAGGCAAAAAAATAAAATACATATAAACATAAAATAAATTTCATAAATGTTTCAAATTAAATTTGTTCTTTTCAACAATGACAGCACTTTAAAAAACAATGTTTACATCATTAAAATATATTAAAATAATTTACCTGTTAATGTATTTTCATTTGGCCCAATCCATAAGTAGGTGGGGTCCACTGTTTCTTTACTAGCACGATTAACATCCATACAAAAAAGGATAGGGGAATCCTGATGTAACTTTACATATATTTTCACTGTGATAAAACAAATTTTGGTGTAACTTACATTATACCAAAAAATAAAGAATCTATTGATTTGTCCCAATGATACCAATTAGTTCTTTATGGATTTCAGTGAATAAAAAGTAGTGGTAACATGTTGGATGCTAGTTGTCACTTAGAATGAAGTCAATTTTGGTTCTCATAGTAAGCCTTTAAAACTACACCTTGTCAGTCATTATATTTAATGTGACAGTCCATTAAAATGTAAGTTCCTTACTATGTACACATTCATAAATAGTTCCAATAACTGTCTGAAGGGCTCGTGGGATTAATGTTCAGAGGATGTGAGCTTGACTGACAAACTATTTCAAAACTGAAAACTTGGTATGTCACCTAGACTTCCTGTTGTCCCATGGGGAGCTTACGAGGGTGTTCTGTAGAGATCTATGCTGATAAAATTGGTAGACAGTGACAGTACGTGATCTCACAAGATATCTTAAGGCCCAGTCATTGCGGGGGGGTCTGAATCTATAGAATTTGGTGGTGCAGTTGTGGCGTTGGGAAGGGAAAGACCTTAACTGCGGAGATGTTCTAAAAACAATACAGTGAAGTGGCTCAACGTTATCTCAAAATAGTCGTGCCACTAGGAAAGTTAAGCTACAGAGAGCAACACTGGAGCTGGATGGATGAGTAGGGCTGATTAACACAAGGAGAGAAGCCTCTTGCAGAGGGACGTCCACCCCGATACGTGGCTTCACTCATTACAAAGCAGAAGTATGTGGAAGAGAGCACTAGATCTGCGATGAATACTGGGACACGAGACTAGCGCTGCTGGGAGGTCAAAAGGATGCAAACTTCCCCAACTGCAGAGCACAGAGCAGACCGGCTCGCTCCTCCCTCTCCCCTCCAGGGAAGAACCTAAGCAGGTGGGCGGCACCCCCAGCTCTGGGGACAGGCCCTGCGTGGGAAGAAGAGGCACTTATTACCTGGGTTTTCTATCGAGCCGTAAACAAAGCCTTTCTTGCTGAATAAAGAAGAACGTAGCGCTCCAACTGCGGAAGGAAGAAAACCTCTGACTTATTAGTGTTTAGGGTTCAGCAGGGAGCAGGGCGAGGGGTGGCGCGGGAGAGGTGGGACAGGGAACCTCGGGCAGAGGGGAGGAGCCTGCGGGCCAAGCCCCACCTCTTGCGACAGACCAGAGCACCGCGGAGAGTAGGGCCCACACGAGCATCACGGCTCAGGCACAAGCAGCGACAGCTGGGCTCCCTCCTACCTCAGGCCAGGCCCAACGCCTCCCCATCGCTCCTCTACAGAGCGAAGCAAACCGCCGAGGGCATTTCCCCTACCGGTCCGAGGCTACCACGGGGGCGGCTGCGCCCGAGAGCGCCTGCGTGTTCCGGCTTGGCACGAGGGGCGGGGCGAGCGTGCGCGGAAGGCGAGCCCCGCCTCCTGGCGCATGCGCACTTGCGGAGCGCTGCTCCCGCCGAGCCTTTCGCACCTCGCGTGGGGTGCCATGTTCCCGCGCCTTAGCTCTGGTCCGGTGGTGTAAAGAGAGAGTGAAGGAAACGAGCTCAAAACTTCCGGGGACTGCCTCAAACCAGGGGCTAAAGGAACCGACATGAGAACACAGTGGGTTCCCTAGGGCCACGGTGGCGCCGAGCTGCCCGAGGATGCCTTCGTTTGGGGATCTGAGGAAGGGAGACGTTTGTGACAATTTCCTGAAAGCGAGGGTCCCGCGCGGGAACTCCCCAGGGTGACATAAAGCAAGCTTGCCGGATCTGTCAGAGCGTCACACATCGCCTTCTGGCACTCAAAACCAAGATCTCGAAGAGCCTTCAGGGCACCAAAAGGGTGCCCCCGATCTCCCCACGTGGAGGGAAGTCGAACCTTTATTTTTCAGCTTAGGGTGTGAGATGATGTAGAGGGACACCCCCTTATGCAAATTTATTCGGAAGTAACATTGCTTTAGAAAATGGGCCCCATCGAAAGGCAAGAGTGTATGATCTTTTCCTCAGCTGATGTGAGATAAGCCAATACCAGGGAGGTCCGAAACAGTCTTTCAAAGTTCTTCTCCCCATACCCCATGCTGGCACCAAACTCAGGACCTTCACCGAGCTGAGTCGTCAACCACGTCGTGCGTGGTCCCATCTTGACTACTATTTAGATGACCTGAAAGACCCCGTGTGCTGTTTATTTCTTAGCAGTAGGACACCATCCTCAGTAGTGGTTTTGAGTAGGTTGGTAGGTAGAGAGCCCAAGGTTCAGATAGGGTGCAGAATGGTTATTTGGGGTGAGATCAAGGGTTTTCAGTTTTATTTCCTTTGAGCCGAGTCAGTATTTGGACTGTTTCAGATGGTCCAGGAGCAACCTTTGTCAGGAATTTCATTTTTAGTCACTGTTAATTTTATCTTTATAGCACACGCATGAAAAATGTGATTCAATGAGTCAGATCCACCCATCGTCAGTTACTATGTCTAGACTCACGGTTTAGTTTCAACTGTTAAAACTGTGCATGGGTGTTTTGCTTGCATGGCTGGCTGGCTGTGCACTGCAGGCATGCACACACCGCTCCCCGAGGCCGGAAGGGGATGTTGGATCTGGGACTGGAGTTAGAGATGGCTGTGAGCCAGCATTTGGATGCTGGGAATCAAGCGCGGGTCCTCTAGAAGAGCAGACAGCACTCCTCACTGCGGAGACTCCTCTCACTTAAGATTTAATCAAAGCATTGTCCAAATGTACAATGTGTTGTTAACTTTCCACTTATTGCAACTGATTCTTATAAACTTTGTGTTAAATTTCGATTCCTATGAGAAGAGTCTTAAAAATAGAATAGTGGGACATGAGAGATAGCTCAGTGGTTAAGAGTTTATCTGCTTTTCCAGAGGGCCCTAGTTCCAGTACCCAGTTGAGCAGCTTACAACAGCCTATAACTCCAGCCCCAGGGGATCCAACGATCTCTTCTGGACTCCATGGACACTTGCATTCACCTAAACATAGCACCCCATCCCTCCCACATAAACACAGTAAAAAAGAAAACCTTTAAAAATAGAGTAGTAGAGTATTGAAAGTACATGTACTCTTTTAAAGTAAGCTTTGTACTTTATAAGATTTATTTGTTTGTTAATTTTTGAGACAGGGTCTTTCTGTGTATCCTTGGCTGAACTCACAGAGATCTGCCTGCCTCTGCCTTCTTAGTGCTGGAATTAAAGGTGTGTAGTAGCATGCTCAGCGAGCTACAAAAAAACTTAATTGTTATATTACTCTGTGGGAAAACTACATAAGGTGGGTATACTTGTGAAATCTATGTTGATTTTCTTTATTCTTGACATCTAGTTTTGATGGATTTATGTCAGTAATTCGGGAAATGAAAGAGACACATTTTTATACAGGACAAATCAATAATGCTGCTATCCCAAGTTACTATTCTAACATGAAAAATTACATATTCATACTTGGCATGATGCATACTTGAGAAATTCATTTTTTTTTGAGACAGGGTTTCTCTGTGTAACAACCCTGGCTGTCCAGAAACTTGCTTTGTAGACTAGGCTGGCCTTGAACTCACAGAGATCCACCTGCCTCTACCTCTCAAGTACTGGGATTAAAGGTGTGTGTCTCTATGCCTGGCATGATACAGTGTTATTAATTAAAGTTCACACTTGATTCATATTTTCTTAGTTTTCACCTTAGTTTATCTAGACCAGAGTCACATTCAGGCTTCTGTATTACATTTAATTGTTGTCTCCTCGGGTTCCTCTGGGTTTTTGACAGTTTCTCAGGCGTTTCTTGTTTTCCTTCTTCTCTTTCTTCTCCTTTCTTTCTTTCTATCTATCTATCTTTTTTTCGTCGTTGTTGTTGACTTTGGCAGTTAACAACTGCTTTGATGATCCTGACTTAACCTTAAGTGATAACTATTTTGTAGAAAGCCTCTCTACTGGACTTTGCTTGGTGTTTCTTCTCATTATTCTATAGTACTATGGATTTTTGTGAGGACAGCAGCTGTAAAATGACATTCACAATATGCCATATCAGTGGTGCATACTATCATGCTTTGCCACTTTTGATGTTAAATGTGTTCAACTGGCTGAAGGAATGTTTGTCAGGTTTCTCCATTATAAGGTTACCCCTCCCTCTTCATACTTTACTGTTTAGAAGGGTGTCACTGTGTGTTCCCTACACTTCATGCTCCACCTATTTGAGGGTGGAGTAGTTACATAAATGATTGTACAATCTGCTTTTTATTTATCCCTTTAAGTATCTGTAGTCTAGAATAAGCCTGTACAGCCGGATAACAATTTACTGTTACATATAGAGAATATTGTAACACAAAATGTTAACAATGTAACACAAAATTTCTAACTTTTAAACAACCAATTAGTTATTCATCCTTATCATCCCTGTGAAAGTTTACAGTTCCTCTTCTGCTACTTTTGATGTGCTATTTTTGCTTTTAGAAACTAACAAACAACAAATTTCCCCTTTCAGTACTAAAATTAAACATTAGTGTTTAGAGTATTTCTCTGAACTCCGTATTTTGCTGCAGAACTCTATCTCATGTTTGTGGAGATGCTGCTGTGGCTCTGTGAGGACTGCCTGTACCAAGATACCAGTTAACATAGACTTAGGTTTATAAAACAGTGTGCTTGCCTAACTCATAATTATGATTTTTTTCAGACATAGGAGATTGATGTACATGTATTCAACCTTAAATCGTGTGTGTATGTGTGTGTGTTGGTCTTTTCAGGCAGGGTATTTCAAAGTCCTGGCTGACCTGGAACTCAATCTGTAGACCAGGCTGGCCTCAAACTCACAGAGTGCTGGGATTAAAGGTGTTTGCCACCACACTGTGCTTCAAACATATTTGTATAATTAACAATATAATCTTCTAGCAAGAATGACAGTAGGAAGTGGGATCATTCCTTCAACACCATTGGGCATCCTTAGAAGTCTCTTTAAGATTTTAGTGTGATGGTGATGAAACACTCTGCTTTGAAAAAAAAGTTTTCTCCCCCCCCCCCCCCCCCCCCCCCGTCAAGTGTTTTCCTCTATAAAGTGAGATGATGGGAAAGGCTGTTGATTGGTATGTCTCTGTGAAACAACACCTTCCCCTGATTTGCTTCATCTACCCCACATAGCTCTACTCTTTACTTTCCTGACACATCATATGTGTATTTTTGTAAAGTGTACTCTTTAGGAGAAAGAAGATTCGTAGGAAATGAACACACATACGTAGAGTTATCTTTTTGAACAATGGTAAATCAACCAGTTCTCAGAAAGGAGAGCCAAATGAAAGAATTGTTCCCTCAAGCTAAAAAGTTGGAGTGATGTAAATGCCAAGGTACTTTTGAATTATATGTATAAATCTGGGCCAAGGACATTTAAGGTTTGTTTTCTGAGAAAATGGCTCATATTGTAGCCCCGGCTGGCCTGGACTTCGTGGCAATCCTCCTGCCTCAGCCTCCCAAGTGCTGGGATTACAGTGGTAGCTACTCCAACTGGAATGAAAAACCCAAGGGTGGGGGAAACTTCCACAAATAACTCAGTGAAGTGAATTCTCATTGACAGTTTTCATGACTCTCATCCCCAAATCTAGATAAAAAGTTCCAGAGCGGTCCGCGTCAGGCGAATCTGGAAGTTGGGCTTGCGCACACCCTTCTTCTCCCTGCGACAGCGCCCTCATCCCCGGTGTGTCTGAAGTAGACGTCCAGAGACCGTCACTGAGGCACTGTTTCCACGAGATCAGGGTTCCTCAGGCTTGACATTCAAAAGTGGGTTGAGGGTGCGGAACCCGCGGCGTTCCGAGCGCGCTTTA